GAAGACCCAACGCAGCGAAAAATAAACTAATTAATTAATTAATTTTTTAAAAAAGAAAGAAAGAAGGAAATGCAAAGCATACACGAACACGCACACGTTTTTTTGTAAAAAGAAACACAGGAGATAAGTCAGTCAGTAATGAAATTGGTTTCTTACAGGGATGAGTGGGAATGGGATGGAAGGAATAGAGAAGGAAATGGGACATCTTTTTATACAGTTCTGACTTTTAAATCATGTTATGTTTTACATATTCAAAAGATAAAATTAGACCAAAAACTGAAAAAAACTCTAAAATTTAAAACAAATAAAAATAAATGAGCCTAACTATATATCACATTAATAACATAGCCACAGAGAGAAAGAAAAAAATTAATGAAAGTGACTTTTGAACACTTTATCTAGTGGGATGTGATCAAAGGACAAAAAGAACTGCAAAAATCTCAACCACTTCTTGGTAAGTTTGTTGATGACAGTCATATTAGGGTAGCAATTCCAAAACTGTTTGGTATTTACTGTAGGACTGAACAAATGGGTAAATACACTGATGATATTGGAGGAGAGTACGTGTGTGTGAATACACACACACATATATATATATATATTTCCTTGTTCTTTCTACTGAAAGGGCTTAGAGGCAAAACAAACCAGTAGCAGTGAGCATACCTAGCACCTAGATTTCTAAATACCAATCTCAACTAACAACCAGGGCTCCTTGGAAAATGATTGATTCCAGGGCTGGAACCAGGGAAAGTATAAGGTGAATGTGGCCCAACATTTTTGTGCTCCTGCATAGGAGATGACTGGGTTACACACACACACACACACACACACACACACACACACACGCACAAATACACACAAACACAAATGTAAATAATGAAGAAGAGATTTTTAAACTGAAGTGGAGTGATTTTCAGTATATTTTGTTAAGCAAAAATGCAAGGCACAAGAGTATATTGCATAAGAGAACAAGAAAAAATTTTTTTGGCAAAAAGAAATACAGCAGAGTGTTCAAATGCTAATGTGGATAGATATGTCACAAGAACACAAAGGCCAGCTTAATGAGCTCTCATTTTGAGCATTAAAATGAATAATGGGGTTTCCCTGGTGGCGCAGTGGTTGAGAGTACGCCTGCCGATGCAGAGGACACAGGTTCGTGTCCCGGTCCAGGAGGATCCCACATGCCGTGGAGCAGCTGGGCCCGTGAGCCATGGCCGCTGAGCCTGTGCGTCCAGAGCCTGTGCTCCACAACGGGAGAGGCCGCAGTGGTGAGAGGCCCGCGTACCCCCACACCAAAAAAAGAATAATGACAGGAATGGATTAAAACACACAACAACAACAACAAAAATTCATGAGTCCATATCAATACTAAACAAACAAATGTAGATAAGGGGGGGAGAGAAGAAAGATTTTCTTTACAGAAGAATGCCAACTAGTAAATGGAGACAGAAGGATACAAATAGAAAAATCACCATTTTAAAACCATCATAGTAATAATTGATTCAACCAAGAATCATTAGTGGATGCTAAAACCGTGGGTGAAAGATTGCTGAGGAATAAGATACAAAGAAATCTAACAGACACCACCTTGACCAAATGATCAAACGCAGCATCACCAATAAAGGGACAAACTGATTATTAGGAGCCTCTACATGTGATACACTGATAAAGGCACAGCCTCATCTATGCAGGACTCCTGCCCCCAAATTTAACGTGAATATAATGAAGAAACAATCAGGCAAATCAAAAGTGAGGCACATTCTGCAAAACAATTGGTCTAGACTTCTAAAATATCAGTGTTTTGATGAAAGAGATCAAAAACGACTGAGGAACTCAGCCAGATTAAAGAAAACTAAAGAAACACAATAACGAAATGCAACGCATTATCCTTGCTCAGATCCTGGATCTGGAAGATAAAAACAACACAGGAATAATTGGGGAAATTTGAATATAGTCTGTATATGAGATAATAGTGTTGTATTAATTGTCATTTTCTCAAGTGTGATAATTATAATTATATAGACAAATGCCTGTTGTTCTTAGGGAACACAGTAACTTGTGTCAAGTATCATATCTCCAATCGCCTTTCAAATGATTCAGGGGTCAAGAGAGATGAAGCAGCTGTGGCAAAATGTTAATAAGTGGTGAATCTAGCAAAAAGCATATGGGTGTTCGCTGTATTATTAGTATAGTATACTGTAGTATACTATAGTATCATTGATACTATTCTTGCAAGTTTTCTGCAGATTTGAAATTTTTCAAAATAAAAGTGTGGGCTGAGTTACATCAAACTATTTCTACAACGAAATATTTATAAGCTCTAAAAGAAGCCTCCGTATTTCAATTTCAGTACATTTAAAAAGATAAAAACCGGAATCAAGAAAAAAAGAAACACACAAAGATTGATAGATTTGACTATGCCAAAATGTAAATTAAATGTCTCTACATCAAAAACGTAGAAATTAATAATAACATACTGGGGGAAAACATGGAACAGCAAAAGAAGGCTACTGTCCTTGCTATATACACTCTCTCTTATAAATTAGTAAGAAAAAAAATACCCTAATAAAGAATGAGGGGCTTCTCTGGTGGCGCAGTGGTTAAGAATCTACCTGCCAGTGCAGGGGGCACAGGTTCGAGCCCTGGTCCGGGAAGATCCCACATGCCGCGGAGCAACTAAGCCCATGCGCCATGACTACTGAGCTTGTGCTCTAGAGCCCGTGAGCCACAACTACTGAAGCCCGCACACCCTAGAGCCTGTGCTCTGCGACAGGAGAAGACACCGCGATGAGAAGCCCGTGCACTGCAACGAAGAGTAGACCCCTCTCGCCGCAACTAGAGAAAGCCCGCGCGCAGCAACGAAGACCCAACGCAGCCAAAAATAAATAAACTAATTAAAAAAAAAAGATTGGGTGAATATGCCCAAAAGATATGAAGAAGCAGTACAATAAAGAAAAAAATTCAATGGCGTATATATGTCTTTAAGGAGCCAATCTCCATAGTAATTAAATATAAATTACCGCGGAAATGCCTTTCGTTTTGTTTCACTTTTTTTCCTTTGCTGATTAGCGAAGATTAAAAAGAACAATGTTACCCAGTATTTTAAGGTTGTGGGGAACAACCAATTTTACACTTTGTTTATAAACCTCTTTGGAGGTAACCACAAGCATCAAAAGCCTTAAAATTTTAAACACCCTTTGACCCATTGATTCCACTTTTGGAGGTTTACCCTAATGAGAGAGTCAAATGTGTGTATAAGGATATTCTGTGCAGCATTTTAAAAAAAGCCATAATATTGAAACTATAGTGTTTGACAACTGGGGCTAGAGTAAACAAATTACAGTCCACATACCGTGGAACACATGACATTAAAAATGATGATGTAGATATATTAGTACAGAAAGGTGTTCATAATTTTAAATAAAGAGAAGCAAGTTAAAAACAGCATGTCATGTATGATCCTATTTTTATATAACTATTTTTACATATGCATAAAAAAGTAGAGAGACAGTCTCAAAATTTGTCTGAGTGGTTTTTGTTTTTGTTTTTGGAAGAAGGTAGATTATGGATGATTTTTTTCCTTTTTTTGATTTCTGTATTTTCTAAAGCTTTGACAATTAAAAAATGTATTGTTATTACAATTTTCTTTAAAAATACAGTTCTTTAAAATATCACAGATCATCATTCTCTGCTATATCCCCTATCCCTGGGATATTATCGGGCATGTGACAGGTACTCTAAAAATATTTGTTGAATGAATGAATAAATGGATCGGGCTCAATTCATGAATATGGTTGACATTTATCTTGTATGGTGAAATAAACCATGGATTTAGAGTCCCAAAACCTGAGTTCAAATCCTGACTCCTGTCTTATCTGTGTGGTCATGATTATAATCCCTTAATCTCTTAATTTCATCTTCCTCATCTGGGCAATGGGGACACTAAACATACATTCCTCAGGAGACTGTTAAGAGAACTGAGATAATATACCTGAAATATTGTGTAAAGTGCAAAGGCCTCTGTGTATTAGGTATTATGACTATACAATGGAACCTATAAGTATGATGGGGTATATAACATAAAGGAGGGGTCTAGAAGATGTGGGTTTCATTGGAAAAGACTTCTTAGAAGATGTGAAATCTCAAAGGTGACAATGAATGTGGAAAGCATGCCAAAAGAAGTAGGGATATGACCAATGAACACCATTTGGAAGGAAAGACAAAGATACACATTGAAAGGAGTGTGGATCCCCTGTTCCGGGGGAGAGGAGAGAATTCCATTGAGTTCTGAGGGCAGATAAGGAGCATGTCAGCTGTTGTCTGGTTAAGTTGGGAAGCTTCCTGGAGGAAGTAGTTTGAATAATGGATGAGGCCACATCTCTCCAGGGCAACCCTTCATGGGCCTGGTTCCGCCCCATGGAGGATGGAGGGCTGTCGTGTGAGAAAACTGAGGACCAGAGATGTGTAAAACTGCTTTCTTTCTTCGGCCACGAAGCAGAACTGAACTGGCATCCAGACGTCCTGCTGCCCACTCCAAACGCTAAACTGCAAAGTGCACCCAAAGTGATCATTACTTCTACGGTTATTAGCAATGCTTGTACTGGATCATAATTTCATTAGTAAACAGGGACTGTATCAGTGTACTATTATCTGCAGTGAACTCAGCATAGGACAACTTGCAAAAAAATATGTCTTAAAGGCTTTTGGACAGTGAGGATGACTATAGTATCGACAATTAACTTGTGACAAAGGACAAATGAGTATCTGTCAGGTGATTGGCGGCCTATCCTGTACTTTTGCATATTTCTCGAGAGAACTGAATGCAGTAGCCCATTGACTTGGAAACTCTGACTAGTGACCTGGTAACACTAGAACTTGCCCAGCTGGCTTTGTGGAAGTCAGACAAAGCTTTCTACCCTCCGGCCCTGGGTTTTCTAATTCCGGGAATCCCTCCTCCTCTGTGCCCCTCACTGCAGATATTACCTCCTCATTCCCCATACCTGGATGAAGTTCCCATCATATTCGAAGAAAAGCAGTGGCCATGTGATGCTGATGATGGAGGGAAAGAGCTTCTTCAGAGGGGTCTGGAGAGAGAGAGGAGCAGGAACCGCGATGGAAGTTACAGGAAGCACTGGCTGTAACTGCTGCCCCGGGTCCCCTCCTCAAGGCTGGACCCTCTCCGGCAGGGATTGCCCTACAGTGCTGTGTGCCAAGGCCTGGATGTTGGAGGTCTTCTCTTTCACCTGCTCCACCAGCATCTGCACCTCCTTGAGGTTGTCTAGGAGAGGGGCAGGGCGTCAGAGTGGAAAGCCTGGCTCTTCAGCTGTTCTTTCTCCTCCCCTGGGGTCCAGTCAGGACACACACTCCTGTCCCTCCCTCTGAGCAGTTGCCCTAAGACCCAGAAAAGTGATAGTTCCTCTGAGTCACTCAGCTGCCTCCATCCCCTCACCCCACCACTCCCATCATCCCTCTCACCATCCAGGGTCAAAATGAAGACCACGGTGTCAGTTTCTGCAAGGGATGGCAGGATGGAAGTCAAGAAGTCTTCGTGGGAGAAGGAGAAATGGGGACCCTGGGGCAGAGAAAGAGGAGAGAGTCCTTCCCATGGAAAACTCCAGCATATAGACTTGAAGACCAAAGAGGCCCTTAGAGGACATCTAATGCAGAGCTTTTATCTACAGATGTAAAAACCAAGATTCAAAGAGGTAAAGTGTTTTGCCCAAGATAATGCAGCATGCTGACGGAAGAGCACTGGACCAGAGCCAGGTTTGGGGGGTGAATCCAGAGCCTTCCACACTGTTCCGTGCTGCCCCAAGGCCTCATGACCTTTAACCCATATTCCCTCTCTAGAAGGGAATCCCATTGTACTCCCCTACCTGTTTCCACCTTCCTCTTTTCTCCCACCCTCTGCACACCAGTTATCTTCCCAACTTCCCCAAGCCCCATCATCTTCCCACCTGGTTGAGCTCAGCCTTCTGGTTAAACATGTCACTGTGATCACCAATGAGAAAGCCATGGACATCTTGGAAATCTGGGAAGGTTAAGGACAGGGAGAGAGGAGTGATGGGCTTCAAAGGAGAGGAAGGTTCTAGGTTTGGGGAGGTGTCAGTGGGGCTGGGAGGAAAGTGGCAAGTGGGGTGCAGGGTAAGCAGTAACACACTTGGGAGGCCATAGCTAAGCATGGGGCTGGGAGCTGAAGGATCAAGGACTGAGTGAGGTTCAAAGGAAGGAGCATTTGACTGAAATGCCTATCTAGATAGGGCAGGATGGACACTGAATGAGGAGCCTCCATGGGTTGGGAGTAGGAAAGAATTTGGAGAGCAGACCAGTTGGTTTGGATCAGGAGGAATCGGGAAGTAAGTCAACACCGGGGTCCCACCAGCACCAAAGGTGTGGATGCACTCTACTCCATCCATGATGGCAATGATGCCCAGGGTCTGCCAGCCAACCAGGTATACTCAGCCTTTTTTCTCCAGGCTGAGAATGGGTCAGAGGTCAGGACATGAGAGATCACAGTGAAGAAAATCCAGAGATCAGAGAAAGACACACGCAGAAGAACACAGGAGTAAACGAACCAAAAGCCTACCCTGACCCTCCAACACGCAGACCCGCTACCCTCCCCATGTTATCATGTCTCGTAGAGTCTCCCCTGCTCTCATGACATTCCCCATCCAGGCCGCTTCCCCCCTCCAAATACACATCTACACACCTGGTGCTGACTTGCTTCATCAGGGTGGTGATCTTGGGGCTTTGACTCTAGGTCACCTGATGAGCCCACTCAAATGTCCGCAGGATTTCCAGAAGGCATCTGGGAGAAAGTCCACCAGCTCCCAGGGCAGGCCCAGTGCCCCCTCAGAAAGCCTGAGTCCCTCCCACCCTGGGGAAGGTGCAATTCCCTTGAAACTAAGTTCTGCTGGTCCCTCGTGGGGGAGCGATAAGCAGAGCCAGACTGCATTCAACAGGGGCAAAGTGGGCTTCAGCGGGAAGAAGACTAAAGAGCAGAGAGAAGAATAGGGCATCCAGAGCACTGGGAGGAGGGTGGGATCAGAGAGTTGACGAGGCGGTAAGTGAGCGACGTGGAAGCTAGGCGAGAGACCCTGGTGAGGGAGGCAGGCCCACAGCAGGATGACCTCTACCCTGCATGGCCTGGACCATCCCCACATCAAAGACTCTAGGAAGCTAGGTTAGCTTTGGATGTCCCAGGTGTGCACAGGGATCAGGTCTGGACCTGAGGAACCCAGGGTCCATTGGAAACAAGCCAGACTTTGTGACTGTGTGATGGGAACAGTGGCATCCCCCGGCCAGTTCCTTTCCCAGGGAAGGAACGGCAGGGCTGCAGTCTTGCTGCTACCAGCGTACCCTCCAGATCTGGATCTGCCATTCCCCTGCCTGCACCCTCCCACCCACTGCCTGACTCTGATCTCTCTCTGGTCCAGATCCTCCCTACCTCGGAGATGCTGCGATGCTCCGGTCCGCAGTCTTGTGAGCTGCCAGTAACAGGGTTTCCAGCAGGATCTTGGTGGCACTTCCACCCTTCATCTGGGAGGAGCCACTGAGGCCCTCAAGCTGCAGAGTGATGACACCCAGGAGAAACTGGGAGAGGAAGGAAGGTCCTGGAGTTTACTAGTTAGTGACCACTGTGCATGCAATCTGGTTAGTGGCTCTTGGACATGCGCTCTGCTTAGTGGCCACTGAGCAGGCATTTGTAGGACTGGTGGCCCCCAGTGTGCTGTGAGGAGGAGTGCTGGTTGAGGGCTTAACTGAGAGGAGAGGAGAGGAGGGAAGGGAAGGGAAGGGAAGGGAAGGGGAGGGAAGGGGAGGGAAGGGGAGGGAAGGGGAGGGGAGGGGAGGGGAGGGGAGGGGAGGGGGAAAGGGCCACTTATGGTCATTTCTATGGTACATTCAGGACTCTGGAGAGGAAGCCAGAATAATTGAGTGTCCTGTTAGCTGGGGATAAGGGTTTTTCAGAGAGGTTTTGTTTTTGTTTTTGTTTTTGTTTGCCAAGTACTTTCTCCCTCCTCCATCCCCCACTTTTTAAATAACAGTTTTTAATCCAAACACTACATTTCATGCTCCTTGGACAGACCAGTGAAGCAGCCATTGATTGTAACCATACAGATATATAATATGACACACCAAAAAGATAAAGAGATTACAGCAAGAAGAATGATAAAAGCAGTGTCTAAGAAAAGGAGATTAAAAGTAAATAATTGTAGAGAGGAGGAGAGATGAGCATCTGGGAGATGAAAGATGCAGAACTTGTGTGTAATGTGGAATTCCTGCCTTCCTATCTCGCAAAAGGAAGATCAAAGAGAATGTCACAGATGTGCCCATCCCTGGCAGAGTGGGGCAGGGCAGGGGTTTGGTTAAGGCCCTTGTAAGGTCAAAGGAAGGGCAGATGATGTTAGTGAGATGCAGCCACAATCCAGAGAAAAAAGCAACAGGAGCAGTGGAGGCTTAGAAGGGCCACACCAATTTTGGAGAGTCTTAGGCAGAAGAATGAAACTACATCCCATTTTTTCTTTAAAGCCCATATTTGAAACTGAAACATATAAAAGAGACATGAAGCAATACTTTCTACACACAGATGCAAAAGAGCTTCTTTATATAGAAACTGCCCTAGACCATTTAGGTGTTTAATGATGACTTATTTAAGAGACAGGGTCCGAATGGAAATAAAACATCTTAAGGTGAAAACCGAAACGAGAAAACAGGATTTGATTTACAACATTTTAGTAGATACACGACACCAGGAATTTAGACATGATGTAACAAAACCTAAAATCAGAGGCCCTAAGTGGCAAGCCGTCCGGAGGTGGGTGTGAGGGGTAGGGGTGGGGGCAGATCTCACCCCAGTTGCAGGATTGAGCACAAAAGCTTTCCGTTTTCTCCGGCAGTTTCTGCATCTGCTCTGCTATTTGTCGAAATGTCGAACTCCAGTCTTCAATGGGGTCATTTCTGGGGCCCAAAGAGAGACAGAGGGGGGATCATGTGTGAGGATCTAAAGGAAGGGCCTCAGATGAGAGTTGGGACCAAATACCACATTGAGATTGGGGTCAGAGGTCAACAATTTCCTAGAGAGATGTGCTTTGATGCTCATAGGGGCACTGTGTCCCTGAACCCCAAGGATGAGGGTTAATAAAACATTCAGCAATTTGAGCCCAGAGCAAAGCCAACACTCAAGTAAAAAGTTCCAGCCTGAGACCAGAACTTTCTTGTGTCCTGGTCCTTGCACAGGTCCTATTGCCATGTCTCCTCTGCAGAGAGAGGCAACAGTGTTTATTGTGTGGTTGAAAACTGAGATCCCCAGACTTGGCAGGTCAGCAAAATCACCTGGGGAGGTTTGTTTTTTTTTTAATAACTACCCATTTCTGGTTTCCACACCCACCCTGAGAGTCTGCTTCAGTAGTTCTGGAGTGGAGCCCCCAAATCTGTATTTTTAAAAAGCTTCCCAGATGACTCTGAAGACCAGCCAAGTTTGGGAGCCACTGATTTAAGGAACAACTGGAAGATCTCCACGCCTACATTGTTTGAAATCCTTCATTTCACTTAGTCACGGTCCCTGAAATTAGCATCCACTGCAGCAGATACATTTTTGGTGAGGAAAGCCCTCCATTAAAAGAGATCATTTATACCTTCGTATGAATTACACTACATGCCTGGAATCTGGGAGCTGAAAAAGCCTCTCGGAACTCAGCTGTCCGTCTCCCCAAGACCACACTAAATACACACAGAGCTGCTCTTGAGTAGTCAGCGAGCCTTCACTGAAATACCTCCGGTGACAGGAAGCCCTCAGCTTCACTGGGTGGCCCCCTCCGATGGTTCATTTAGCATAGTTTCCCCAGCTTGGCTGTGCATCAGAATCTCCAAGGATGCTTGCAAAAAGTAGGTATTTCCGGGCCTTACCTCAAACCTACAACATCAGACCTCTCATACAAGAACCTTCCTTATTAACACTCCTAAGGCAGTGCGTTCACAGAATCGCACCTGAGCAGTATTGGTTTAATATGCTGGCCTTCATAACACAACATTGTAAATCAACTATACTCCAATAAAAAATTTAAAAAATATATGCTGGCCTTCTTTGAGATCGAAGTGGCCATTTAGACAGAGAATAAGAGGGAGGTGACTTGGAGGCACAGGGATCTCAGGAAAGGGGAACAGGGTGGGAGATGTGAGTAGCCAGAGGGGACCAAAGGGGCTCCTGGCATGAAGGAGAAAGGGCCTAAAATAAGGGAGCTAGGCAAAGGAGACTAGGAGGCCAGTCAGCACCCAGTATTCCTTCTTTGAAAAGATGCTGGGGACCCACCTCAGATGAAAGCACAGATCTTTGTGGTATGCATTTTCTTGAGCCCATTCTATCCTCTGACCCACGTTTTCCTTGCCTCTTCATTCCATTTTAAATGTATGCTTTCTTATATTTTATGTAACCTTTATAAGCTGCCTTCAATTCTTTCTGAAATGAGAGAATATGCAAATTAACCAACCAACAAAAAACTTCCTAAGCTTAGGAACACCCTTTATTTACTTTATTTTTTTTAACATCTTTATTGGAGTACAATTGCTTTACAATGGTGTGTTAGTTTCTGCTTTATAACAAAGTGAATCAGCTATACGTATACATACATCCCCATATCTCCTCCCTCTTGCGTCTCCCTCCCACCCTCCCTATCCCACCCCTCTAGGTGGACACAAAGCACTGAGCTGATCTCCCTGTGCTATGCAGCTGCTTCCCACTAGCTATCTATTTTACATTTGGTAGTGTATATATGTCCATGCCACTCTCTCACTTTGTCCCAGCTTACCCTTCCCCCTCCCTGTGTCCTCACGTCCATTCTCTATGTCTGCATCTTTATTCCTGTCCTGCCCCTACGTTCTTCAGAATCACTTTTTTTTTAGATTCCATATATATGTGTTAGCATACGGTATTTGTTTTTCCCTTTCTGACTTATTTCACTTAGTATGACAGACTCTAGGTCCATCCACCTCACTACAAATAACTCAATTTTGTTTCTTTTTATGGCTGAGTAATATTCCATTGTATATATGTGCCACATCTTCTTTATCCATTCATCTGTCGATGGACATTTAGGTTGCTTCCATGTCCTGGCTATTGTAAATAGAGCTGCAATGAACACTGGGGTGCATGTGTCTTTTTGAATTATTGTTTTCTCAGGGTATATGCCCAGTAGTGGGATTGCTGGGTCGTATGGTAGTTCTATTTTTAGTTTTTTAAGGCACCTCCATACTGTTCTCCATAGTGGCTGTATCAATTTACATTCCCACCAACAGTGCAAGAGGGTTCCCTTTTCTCCACACCCTCTCCAGCATTTATTGTTTGTAGATTTTTTGATGATGGCCATTCTGACCTGTGTGAGGTGATATCTCATTGTAGTTTTGATTTGCATTTCTCTAATGATTAGTGATGTTGAACATTCTTTCATGTGTTTGTTGGCAATCTGTATACCTTCTTTGGAGAAATATCTATTTAGATCTTCTGCCCATTTCTGGATTGGGTTATTTGTCTTTTTGATATTGAGCTGCATAAGCTGCCTGTATATTTTGGAGATTAATCCTTTGTCAGTTGCTTCGTTTGCACCTTTATTTACTTTAATATTCTGAGATTTGGTGAACAAGAGCATATTTGCCCTGCCCTCTCCTTTGTGACTATCCTGTAGATTTTCACAGGTTCCCTCCCAGCCTCCCCCAGGGGCCTGGCCGTGACCTTTCATTACAGAAGTTCTGTGTACGACTTTTCATTACAGAAGGCTCACCTGGCCATGCTCACTGGGTTGAAACCAATCAGGACTGGCAAAAAGACCGCTGGGTTATCCATGCAGTAGTCCATCTGGGCTGCCACAGAGGGAGCCTGGTGGTAGGGAGAGAGGGGAGGGTTCGATGAGGGGGGTTACTCTAGCTCTGCCCGAGGCCCACATACATCAGAATGCCCCACACATGCTTGTTTAAGTGCAGATTCTGGGCCCAGTTAAAATCTACTGGATCTGAATTTGAAGGGGAGACCCCATGGACCTACATTTTTTTAAAATTAATTAACTATTATTATTATCGACCACACCGTGCAGCTTATGGGATCTTAGTTCCCCGACCAGGGATTGAACCCGGGGCCCTGGCAGTGGAAGCGCTGAGTCCTAACCACTGGACCGCCAGGGAATTCCCTAGACCTACATTTCTAACAGGCTCTCCCATGGAAATCTTCTGCGTGGTAAAGTCTGAAGATACAGAACTAAACTGTCAGCTCCATGAGGTCAGTGTCCTGCTCTCCTTGTGTGCCTCGTTCCACATCTGCTGGGGTCCAGGTCCTGCTCAGTGAATTCAGAGAGTCCGAGCTGCACAGCTGAGCGGAAACTCAGGGTCATCTAGCCCAGTGCATGTCAAACAAACCACCTGGGAATCTTGCTAAAATGCAGATTCAGACTCAGTAGGTCTGGTGTGGGGGGGCCTGATATTCTGCATTTCTAACAGATCCCAGGTGATACTGATGTCGCTGGTGTAAGGACCACACGTTAGGTAGCAAGGGACTAGTCCGGGGTCAGTTTTTTCTGTAAAGAGCTAGAAAGCAAATATTTTAAGCTTGTGGGCCCTACGATCTCTGTCCAATGACTCGGTCTTACCGTTGAAGCGTCAAAGTAGCCATGGATAATATGTAAACACAAATGGCTGAGTTCCAGTAAAACGTCATTGACAAAAACAGGGAGCAGCTGGATTGGCCTGCCAGCATAGTTTGCTGAGCCCTGGACTACTCTATCTATTTTGGTTGTTGAGTGGATGGGTACACAGTTATTGTGGGATAAGATCCCTCCCCCCTTGTCCCACATTCATGCAACTGGATCCTCGTCAGTGAGAGTGACATCGAAGTTCCTCACACGAGCCCTTCTGTTTCTAGCTAAATCTTGTTGATTTACCTCCCATGCTGTTCCACTCCTACTCCCCGCCTCCCTATAAAATTGACCCCCCAGCCCGTCTTCACACTCACAGAGAGTCCCGCTGAAATGCCGATGACAATCACCCTCTTCTTCCCAGCAGCCACCTAGGAGAGGAGGATGGGTGAGGTGGTGCCACCAAGAGGATTCTAGGGTATAAACATATTGTGTGGGGATGTCAGGGCCAGGATGAGGTGGGGGGTGGCTGGAAGGGAGTTGGGGGGGCACGGAGGAGGCAGGGGATGGGCTTTGGCTGGATGCTGGGGCTTTGATGTCCCCACGAGAAGGAACAGACAGAGGTCTATGGTTGAGTGTCAGTGGAAAACACAGACTTCTTCAGTTCCTCGATCCCATCCAGGGCACTATCTTCCATCCCCTCCCTAGAGGCCATCACAGACCTAAGAGGACAGAGTCAAGGTCAGTGGCACTGCTTGGGAAGCAGAAACCTATGGTTTATTAGGGCTGCTTTGAGAGAAGGAAATGAAGAGAAAACTGTCACTGAATGGGCACCTACTATTTGTTGGGCACCATGATAAACACTCTGTAGGGTTGAAAAACTTCAATGCCTATGAGGGCTAGTCAGGCAACATACGTACGTCAAGTGGAGAGCAAACTGGACACCATCTCCACCTGAAAGCATTCAAATTCAGTTTCTAAAAGACACTAGTTAGGCCAAACAAAATATTCATAGGCCAGCCTGGCTTACCTGTCACCTCCTGCAACGAGGTAGGTGTAAAGAGGTTTCTGTCCTAGACCTTTCATCAGCTGGTTAAAGGAGACCTGCCAAGTCGGAGAGAACATGGAGTAGTAATGACAGGGAAGGAACAATTATCTTGGATTTTCAACACCTTGAGGGTAGAGGCTGTATAATGATTCTCTTAGGTCAGTGCTTAAGCCAGCACTGCTTGGAATCTGACTCTTAAATATGCTGCTTGGAGATGATGGATTAGGGGTGTGTGGGATGTACAGACATTGGCAATAGACTGGTGGGGCTCAGATGGGCTCAGAAGAAATGGGACTCCATGTTGAGATCTAGCTTTTGGAGAAGAAAGAGAGCCGGAGCTGGAGGCGGTCCACCTAGGAGCTTAGCTATGAAGAGCTTTATGGTCCTGAGGTTCACTCCAAGAAGGCGGAGAGCAAAACCGGCGATCAAGGTACTCACCGACAAGAGGAATGCCATCCTGCCAGAGGTATCCCTCCACTCAGCCCCACCAGCGCCCCCCTCAGGCTCCTGAGAAAAGAAAAATGCTTACGTCTCCAGGTTGGGAGAAGCATATTCTCTTTTTGGTTGGTAACAGAACCCCCCTCTTATCCCCAAAGCGAACAGAACATAGAGAATATGGTGTAGCAGAAAGAACCTTGGATTTGAGAAAGAAACTTCAGTCTGATCCCCAACTCTGGTTTAGCTACTTATTCAAACCCTTACTGGACTTCCTTGGTGGGGCAGTGCTTAGGAATCCACCTCCCAGTGCAGGGGAAAACGGGTTCGATCCCTGGTCCAGGAAGATCACACATGCCGCGGGGCAACTAAGCCCGCAAGCCACAACTCCTGAGCCCGCATGCATAGAGCCCACGCTCCACAACAAGAGAAGCCACCGCAATGAGAAGCCTGTGCACCACAACGAAGAGTAATTCCCACTCGCCACAACTAGAGAAAGCTTGCGCTCAGCAACAAAGACCCAACGCAGCCAAAAAAACCCCCCAAACCCTTACTTATTGCAGAAAGGACGGAAAGCAGCTTTGTCACAGATAGGAAGCAGCATTATCTGGCAATTACTAGCTGCGTGTACTTGGGCAAAAGCTACTGTGATTATCTTAAGTCTTTGTTTTCCCATCCGAAAAGTAATGGAGACAATAACACCAACTTTACAGGTTTTTGTGAAGGTAATGGGTGTGAAAGTACGTGGTCAGTTATGTAGTATTATGCAGTAATAGTTACTATAATTACTGTTGATTAATAAGATGACAATAAGGATATAGAAGTTTATAAAAGGGAAAAATAGAGACCAAGAAGAGAGAAAAGTGGAGGGAAACACGAATTTAAGCAGGGAGCAGGTGGAGAGTTGGTACCTTTGGCACTTCCTGGACTTTTCCAGCCGCTTATACCATGGTGGTCAGAGGTGACTCACTGGAGGCAACAGGCAGGCATCAACAGCCAAGAAAAGGACAGTGGGTTGGGGGGGCGGGGGAGGGGCTCCCAGACCATGGTCTGAGAGGGCAGAGGTTGAGGTGGGGTGGGGCTGCAGTGGGCATCGTTACTTGCAGTGTCCAGGGGATGCGGCTGAGTCACCTGGCATGTGGGCCTGATTTGTCCCTCCTCCTGGAAGATCTCAGCATCACGTTGCCCCAGCAATCGAACAATCTGCTCGGCATCTGCTTTGTCCAGATCCCGGGTCAGTGGGTTTGACTTCTCTATGATGGGCAGGGCTGCCTCATACCCAGACAACTAGAGGGAAGGGGGGACAAGGTCAATGGCAGGGAGCCTCATTCACGTCTGCCGAACTGGAGGTGGGTGTGGCAGCAGGCACAGTGTTGGGACACACACACACACACAAAAATGATTTAGCCTGCACTTGGTACTCTGGGCCTATCAAAGAAAGAAAATCAGGAAGGAAGATGGGAAGGAGGACGGGGAAAGCAGAAACCCAGGCTGCAGGGAAGTCCAGATGAGACAGGATTCTAGGAATCAGCACAGAAGGCCAACAGGGAGAAAGGGTCTCACCTCCCACTTGCCAGGCTCCGCGGTCTCAATCACACGTTGAAACTGTTTTGTGCCTGGCATGGTCCGACACTGTGGACACACTGTTGTGCCTCCCTCTTCAGCCACATAGCCCCTTCTGTCACACTGACACTGCTTCCAGTTGGCGGGGCCTTATCTGAGCCACAGTGGTGATGAACCCAAGTACCCTGGCCTCTCTGCACACCTCTGCCTGCACCCTTTCCTGGTCACTAGGTCCTTAGCCCTCTAGTCACCCCACGGGGGCTCCCCAGGTCCCTCTTTACAGGCACCCAGACTCCCCAGCCTCTGGTTGTCCCTGAAGAGGAAGACGCGGGGTCTTCGTTACTCTTGCCTTTCAGACAATGCCCTCTTCTCTGGAGGGCCTGGAGCCCAGAAGGACAATACCCAGGCCCAGGGCAAAAAGGATCCCTGGGCACGAGTGCTCTGGAACCAGGATGCATCAGGAGGCCAGAGATCAGGGTTCTCAGGGTCAGCAGAGGTCAGAGGACCTGGGCCATGGCTTGATCACATGCTCAGCACACACAGTCCTCCCTGTCCCACTTGCCCCATTTCACTCTCCTCTCAGAAGGAAGGCAACAGAAGCTTCAGAGCCCCAGGGGTGCACGCACTGAACTGGATATTACAGGGGAAAGTGCCACAGAAATAGAAATACTGCAATGAGAATTAGAAACCAAAGTATCTGCCCTAAATACAAGTTTGGCTAACATTTATTTACACTGAACAATGCATTGGCACATACAGTATCTCATTAGATACATTAAGAAGATATTAAAAGGAATGAAATAATACCATTTGCACCTAGAATTTATCATACTAAGTGAAGTAAGTCAGACAGAGAAAGACGGATATCATATGATATCACTTATAAGTGGAATCTAAAAAAATGATACAAATGAACTTACAAAACAGAAATAGGCTCACAGACATAGAAAACAAACTTATGGTTATCAAAGGGGAAAGGTGGGGGGAGGGATAAATTAGGAGTTTGGGATTAACAGATACACACTACTATATATAAAATAAACAATAAGGACCTACTGTAGAGCACAGGGAACTGTATTCAATACCTTGTAATAACCTATAATGGAAGAAAATCTGGAAAAGAATATATGTATATATGTATCACTTTATTGTACACCTGAAACTAACACTTTGTAAATCAATTACGGTTCAATTTTTTTAAAAAGATGATGATATTGACACCCTCATTTTTCAGATGATGAAACTGAAGCTCAGAGAAGTTAAGTTAGTTGCTGAAGATCACACAGCTGACAGAATTGGGACCCACACCCAGGTTCTCACTCCAGATCTCATGCTCAACCAAAGCATGAAATAACTTAAGGATTTACATGTTTATTGAATAAATGAAGTAACTAACAAATTGGTGCAATTAATCATAATCTCTCATTCACACCGTGTTATAAGCTTTATAAAGATCGTTCCCCAATATTGTCTCATTTGATCCTCACAACAGCCCTGTGAGGTTTTGGATGCTCTGATTTACACGTGGGAAACCTGAGACTTAGATTAACCTCTTTGTCTAAGGCCACACAGTAAGTCCCAGAGCTAAGACAAGAAACAGGTCGTCTCTCTTTAAATTTCCCCTATAAACCCAGCACCCTTAATAATCGCCGTATCTCCAGCTATTAACATGCCAGACATATAGAGAACGCTCAATAAATATTTGCCTAATAAATGAAAGAATGACTGAGAGAATGAAGGGAATCAAGATCAGATTATGAATGGGGAAGATACTTAAAAGCTGACGCAGTCTACAAGTAGGAGATTGTCAAAATAATTATTATCTCCATCATTGTCCCCTCCGGCACCGGAGGTGGAATTCCACTTCCCAACTCGGCTAATTCCATCTGGGGAGGGAGAGGCCTCCCAGGTGCCTGAGACCCTCGCACCTGCGCCTCTCCCGACATCCCCCCGCCCCCCACGCCCCTGCCGGGGCTTATCACACAGAGCCGGGATCGGGAGCTTTGGGGGCCCGAGAGGCCGCCAATGAGAGGGTCGTGGGAGGAGTCCCGAAAGAACCGGGTTGGGGGGGCGTTGATGACGGCGGCGAGAACCCCAGCTGGGCGGGGCGGGCCCGCACGTCCCGGCCGGGCTGCGGCGGAGCGACGGGGGCCAGCTCTGCAGAAGGCGGCGGCTGGCTCGCCGGGACGGTCACATCTGCTGCAGGGGCCGGCGGAGGCAGCCGCACCGCCTCCCGCCCCGGGGACCCAGGCCAGCCTCCGGGCCGCGCCGGCACCGCCCCCTGCTCTCGGACAGACTGCGCGGCCGGTCGGAGCTCGGGGGGCTTCGCAGCCCCGCGGCCCGCGCCCGCTACGCCTCCGCCCTCTGCCCGCAGCTCGGTCCAGCGCCGCCCGCCTCGCCGGGCCCGCGCCGGGATGGGGTAGGGACAGCGCCACGGAGTCGGGCGATGGGCCGCCCTCTGGGCACCGAGCAGCCCCCCGAGGCCTGAGCGACCGCGAGGACCGGCGGAGGTGGGTGTGGGCAGAGCAGAGCCGCGCACCAGGGGCGCCGGGATGTGGCGGGGGCCAGGAAGGCATGGGGAAAAGGGGGCCTCTGGGGCTGCTGTGGGCCGTGGGGAGACCGGGAGAGCTGCTGCCCACCCGCTCGTTCTGGCAAGTCCTTGACCCTCCCACAACTCCTGCCACCTCCAGGACCCCCGCCTGGATGTCAAACGGATGCCCCAGTGCCTCCCAGAGGACTCGGTGGGGACCATGGCTTCGCTAATGCCCCTCTCTCCATATCTAAGCCCCACTGTCCTCCTGCTGGTCAGTTGTGACCTGGGCTTTGTACGAGCAGGTGCGTAAAGGGGGAGAGGGTGGGAGGTAACCAGAGTTAGTCTGTGGGTGGAACCTGTTAACCGGTTAACGCACTGGCACCCGCAGACCGGCCTCCCTCTCCTGTGAATGTGACAGTCACTCACCTCAGAGCCAACTCGGCCACTGTGTCTTGGGACGTCCCAGAAGGCAACATCGTCATTGGCTACTCCATTTCCCAGCAAGTATGAATCACCCTTCTGCTACCCCAACCCATGTCCTTGGATCTCTGAACATTCCTTCTGTCACCTCCCTCCCCACCCCAGCTCCCCTCCCAGCTGTGGGAGAATCTGGGAGCTGGGATTCCCTGGCTCACGCTGCCCTTTTCACCCTTACTCCCTTGGAGTGCTTGGATGTTCAGGAGGTGGCCTGGGACCAGGGTGAGGCTGTCCTCCTCTCTCATCAACTCCCTGCAGCGACAGAATGGACCGGGGCAACGTGTGATCCGGGAGGTGAACACCACCACTCGGGCCTGTGCCCTCTGGGGCCTGGCTGAAGACAGTGACTACACAGTGCAGGTCAGGAGCATCGGCCTTCGGGGAGAAAGCCCCCCAGGGCCGCGGGTGCACTTCCGAACTCTCAAGGGTTCTGACCGGCTACCCTCAAACAGCTCGAGCCCAGGTGAGGGTCTCAGGTATTCCTCGCTCCCTAAAGCTTTGATTCTCTGGCTCTTTACCTGGCCTTTGGTCTCCTGTTTACTTCCCCAAAGCAAGCAGCCGTCTAGCTTAGATGAATAGAAGGATGATTTAATTCATTGTACTGCCAGAAAAGGAAGGAAAGCAGGTTGGCAGGGGACCGGGTATAGACAGGCTGGTAATGAATTCCTTGGGGGAAGGGCTTTTAAGCTTCCTTTTACCCAGCCTCAGTTCACAGCAGCTGCAGCCTGCATGAGTGAGTATCTGACCTGCAGCCCTCCGGCTTTTTGGTCTCTAACCACCTGTCCACCAACAGCTTCCCAGAGAGGGGCTACCAGTGACAACGCTGTGATGGGTCTTCCTTGGCTTTAATCCCCAGCATCTCCAACCTTAACTGTCTGCACAGACATAGCTCTCTAGCTGCTCCCTGTAACCTGGGGTCCGTCTCCTTCCTTCTCAGGTGACATCACAGTGGAGGGTCTGGATGGAGAGCGACCTCTGCAGACGGGGGAAGTGGTCATCATTGTGGTGGTGTTGCTCATGTGGGCTGGTGAGTAAGCAGCTGGACAGGGGACCATGGATTGAGTGGGGCTCAGTGAAGGTGGGAGTTGGTGAAGGTTGTTGGGAGAAAGGGGGTGAGAGCAGTGGCGTGGGGAGATGTTTAGTTGAGAGGGATGGGCAGGAAAAGTTTGAAGAGAGGGAGAGGAGGCTTTGGCGAGCCCAGAGAGGATGATGAAGAAGGTGGTGCCTGTGCATGGGGACCAGGAATTCAAAGATTTTCTTCTCGGATTTTCTAGAAACTGTGGGTATCTCACTGCCTTTCGAGGCTGTGAGTGGGGAGGTCAAGATCAAGGTTCAGATTGTATTGTTGTGTTTCAGCTGTAATTGGGCTATTCTGCCGTCAGTATGACATCATCAAGGACAATGACTCCAACAATAACCCCAAGGAGAAGGGGAAGGGACCGGAACAGAGTCCTCAGGGAAGGCCAGTGGGGGCGAGACAGGTGATGTGTGGCCAGAGAGGGAGGGAAGGGTGATTTTGCCTCTAGAAGCAGTAAGGGAAAGGGAGAAGGGCCACAGAGGGGCAAGAGAAGAGGGAGAATGGAAATTTGGGATGGAGGAGGCTATCGCCTTCCTGAAATGAGACTCAAGCCATCTTCTTTCACAGAAGAACTCACCCTCCATCAACACCATTGACGTATGAGTGAAGAAACAGAACCAGAAGACAGATGCACTAACATCTTGGGGATGGGGATGGGGTCAGGGAGAGCCCAAGATGGTGATTTGCCCAAGACTGAAGGATCCCACAGTCTCCCAGAGGGTAATGACACTCCCACAATCTCAGGCCTGGCATCCATTCTCTTTCCACTGTGAGCAGGGCCAGAAGGTAGGTCTGTTAGGGTCTGAGCCCCTGGACCTGGGGAGTGGATATCAGATGGGATATGTCCTTCCATCCCCCAGGTCCAGGAGAGAGTCACTTGTTCAACCCTATCCCATTAGGTCCCAAATGGGGCCCCCATTTCACCTGCATCAGAATCCTTGGCATCCCCAGCTGCCCCCACATCTTGCCTCTGGGTCTCAGAGAGGAGTGTTTCTGTGGGTACGCCACCTCCCCCAGCAAATAAAAGGAATTGTCTGGGCCTGGAGACAGATGCTGCACTGCACTACTCCAATGTCTTCCATGGAGCCTCAGGTGCGCCCCCTCTCACCTGGCAGCCCCTTCAGCTGCTGGTGATCTCACTCCTTGGACATTTTTCCAATAAAGTTTCTTGGACAAACTGGAGCTGACTGTATGGGATACTGTCTAATATGCTGAAAACATTTCTCCACTGTCTCTCCCCTGACTACAAGGGCCCTTCACACCACCACCAACTTGACAGGAGCAGACTCTTATTTGAAGGTGTTTGCTTTGATTCTCCAGCCTGGAATTGGGTGGAGCAGAGCCAGAAAGAGGCATAGAAAACCAAGGCCCTAGATCCTTTTCCTTTTTTGGGTGAGAAGGGGGAGCAGGAAAAAAAGAGGATATAAATTCTTCATGTACTAATGGAAACTAAGGTTATGGCACATGAGAGGGCCAGTAGCCTTTTTTTTTTTTTTTTTTTTTTTTTTTTTGGCCAGTAGCCTTTTTATCTTCACTGCCCACATCGGCAGCCCAGCTCCTCACCATTTATTCCTCTGATTTCATCAACCCTGAGCTAATTTTCAGAAAAGGATTGAACAGGGTCTTGGGACAAATGAAAGAACAGCTACACTAATGGATCCCTGGGTGCCAGGTGTTCCTCTCCCGTGCATTTCTGTGCCTATTCTTCCCTGCCCTTGCTTTCCCTTTTGTCTGTATGTCTCTCTGTTCATTCGGTCAAAGTCAGTAATAATTGTGAAGAATAAATGAGTTTATATTCACTCTCGGCCATTATATCCAGAGGAGGATTCTGGAAATAAAACTGGGGTTGGAACTCTCTTGTCAAAATAATTATAATTTGGGGGACTTCCCTGGTGGCGCAGTGGTTAAGAATCCACCTGCCAATGCAGGGGACACGGGTTCGAGCCCTGGTCCGGGAAGATCCCACATGCCATAGAGCAACTAAGCTCGTGCGCCACAACTACTGAAGCTCGCGTGCCTAGAGCCCATGTTCTGCAACAAGAGAAGCCACCACAGTGAGAAACCCGTGCACGAAAAGGAAGAGTAGCCCCCGCTGGCCGCAACTAGAGAAAGCCTGCGCACAGAAACAAAGACCCAAAACGCAGCCAAAAATAAATAAAATTTTTAAAAAACATTACTATTAACAAAAAAAAAGAATTATAATTTGGGCTCTGGGGCCTACTTGTTTCCTGTGAAAATAGGGACTGTCCTCTACTTTTTCCTAAGTTCCACGGGGAGGTTGGTGCCAGTGAAAGAAACACCTGTTGACATTTGCAAGCACTCTGTGGGAAAGACTTCAGAACTGAGAATCTGTCTGGACAGCATATGCTACACTGTCTGGAAGGTAACAGTTTTCTCCACGTATGATCCTCCGGGAGGTGGCTTATGAATAACTGTCCTTTTTTGCATCTTGATCTCTCTGGTATGTTACAAGAAATTAGACCAATAATTCTGAAAGGGACCCCAATCGAAACAAAGATCAAGAAGTCAGTCAGTATCTTTTAAACCTAACCAAGCTCCACCCCCGGGTTTCACAAGACTACACCTGTCAGGTGAGCCAAGCTCTTGTCTGCCCTCTGCCCTAAACCATAAAGCATCCTGATCTAAGCAGCAGTCTTAAACTCACCATTTTCCATTTCAAAAGTAGGGTGTTTTACCTCTCTCTGACCACTGCTTCCGAAGCACTGCTTCCGAAGACTCTGGATACATCATCATTTCTGGGGATAGGAGTGTCACAGGGTATGTAGTAGCATGGGATGGAGATAGGGAGCTAGAAGTTAAGAAGGAATACAAAGGGTGTTTAAATGCACCATCTCTGAGTCGAATCCCAGTTCCGTCCTTAACGCACTATGTTAGCTAAGGCAAGTGACCCCTCTAGTCCTGAGTCTCATGTTATGTAAAATGGGACTAATAATGCTATCCCCTTCAAAAGGTGGCTTTGAGATTAAAGGAGACAATGCATGTGCAACACTTTGCACGGTACCTGGCAGACACATACTGAGTATTCCCTGTTACCCATCGTTATCAGCCTTGTGATCCTGTGCAAGTTACATAACCTATTTAGGATCAATTCCGTCAACTGTAAAAGGCCTATAATAGCAACTACCCTGCTTTCCTCCAGGGTTGTGTAGATTAAAAGAAGGCACTCTGGGCTTCCCTGGTGGCGCAGTGGGTGAGTGTCCGCCTGCCGATTCAGGGGACACGGGTTCGTGCCCCGGTCCGGGAAGATCCCACATGCCGCGGAGCGGCTGGGCCCGTGAGCCATGGCCGCTGAGCCTGCGCGTCCGGAGCCTGTGCTCCGCAACGGGAGAGGCCACAACAGTGAGAAGCCCGCGTACCGCAAAAATAAAAAAAAATAAAAAAAGAAGGCACTCAGCCACGCTTACGTACATCGAACAGCTAGAGAGACTACGATTACGTAGGACCCCGGAGATTGCGGAAGGCTTGTGGGCGTGGCTGGAGTTTGGGTTTGCATGCCACGATGGGATTGGTCGAGGAGAGAATTCATCAAGCCCTCTGCGCGCGTGGGGTCCCGCCCTAGACCTCACTGCGGCTGCGCGGGTTCTGTTTTGCTTCGCTGCGAACCTACGCGGTGACCTTGCGACGCGTGTCGCGCTCAGGTCGCTTCTGCGTCAGCGGCTGCCGCTGCGGCTGCGTGGCGGGTTGTCCAGGTAACCACGGGAGTTGTCCGCTGTCTGTTGGCATCTGAGAGACAGGTGTTCGTCATGCAGTTGAAGCACCTGAGGACCCTGCTGAGCCCTCAGGTGAGGAATCGCGTGCTTCTTCCCTCCCTCGCCCGCCTTAATGTTGCAAGAAAAGTGGGGGACTGAAGTTTAAAAACGTTGAGCGCCTACTGTGTGCAGAAGACCGAAGGCTATAGTTGTGATTCGGACTCTCCTACGTCCATAGAGTGTTGAGTAGGTGAGATGGAGTGCTGAGCACCGTAGCTTTCACTTCGTTCCATTAACGAATCGGTTGTGTACCAGGTCCCATGGTGGGGCTCCAGGGGGATCCAGAACTTGCTCAGCTGTTGCCCCTGCCTTCAAGAGGCTCGTACTAGAGGCAGAGGCGCACGTGTAAACAACGAACATTAATCTACACCTCTCAAATGAGCGCTTTAGGTGTAAGCCCCACCTAAAGGAGTGCACACGACCACACCGTTCGTTCTGATGGTGCAGATCTCAGATTCAGAAGAGGCTGGACACTGAGGGAGGAGCCCTAGAACATGGTGAAGAAAGGCTGGGTTTCGGAGTCAGGAGGCCAGAATTCAAGTCCTAGCGCCCCACTACTTTAAATAAATGATGTGATGCCCCTGACTTTAGCCTTTATCACACAGGCTCTCTGGGCACTCACCCAAACTTCTACATTTGGAAAACGGGAGTAATAATAATCGCAGCCTTAGGAGGTTAGGGGGAAGAATTAAAGAAAGTAGTATACACAAGAGAACGTTGTAAACTGAAAAGCAGCGTGAAAACTGATAGACGAGAGAAGGACATTCAAAATGCAAAGGACAAAATAATAGAAAGCTAATAAGAATATCTGTCATAACTGAATGTTTAAGGTGTACCAGGGCAGCATAAGTAAAGAAGCTAGTGTTGTGGATTATGGAGTCAGACACACATGGATTTAAATCTTGGTTCTGCCACTTAAACTGTGTTTGTAAACTTGAGCAAATTACTTAACCTTTCTGTGCCTCAGTTTCCCCATCTGTAAAAGATGCATAATAATAGCTTCTACCTCAGTTATGAGATTAAATGAGATAATGCGTATCAAGCGCTTAGCAAAGTGCCTAGTCCATGCTTGTTAAAGGTTAGCTATTATTCTGTTCTCTACCTCATGTAATCCTCGCTACAGTCCTGTGAGGTACATATTGTAGAGAAAGGAGAATTAATTGATTATGAGAATCAGGAAGGCTTCACAGAGAATGTGGCTTTAAGAGAATAGAAGGAAATTAGAACAAAAGAGAGGTGTGCTCATTGCTCAGTAAACTGTTCTCTGAATCTGTATTTCTAAAATTCCTTTACCCTAATGGAATAATTGGAAATGAAATCTTCCTTCAATCTTTCAAAATAAGATGATGTCATGATGCAGGTAAGGGCTGAATGCCCAGGATTGGGCAAAATGATTAAGGAAGATGATTGGCAATAATTGATAAGCCCTCTACCCTCCTAACCTAATTTAGTCAAGAGTTGGAGGGGGCTAAAGGTGGTGGTGTGGCTATTTTCTGACTCCGGTTTGAGGACTTTGATGAAAAATGCCTTTTTTACTTCTGACTTTGGAAGTGGGTAGTTTAGGAGTAAAAATTAACAATGTTTTAAGCCAGGGCTGTAGAGCCCAAGTAGTTAAACAATTGGAGCAGAAATTAAATTTTTTATTTCAAGGAGGGAAATCCTTAGTGCAGAACCACAGACCACCAGGGCTGGTGGTGGAAGGGACAGACATGGCAAGAATAATTCACTGGGAGTTGATCGCTTCTAACTTGGGCTTCTGTGAAGTGGATTGTTAAGGAAAAAAAAAGACAAAAACCAAAGTGGCATTGTTTATCCTAAGTCACAACTCTGATTATTTTAATTCCCATTCCAGAACTTTCACTGTCTCTCCCTTTCCTACCAAATAAGCCCAAACTAAGCCTAGCTTCAAAGACCCTTGTTGAACTGGCCTCTTGTCTGTTTTTCCTGACTTACCTCCTCTATTCTGCTATTTACAATATAGTTTCAGCTAAATTAAATTACTATTTATTGACCAGAACTTGCCATTGCTCATGCCATTCCTTCTACCTCAGGTAATTTCCCTACCTAACTGTATCCATTCTTCAAAGCTTAATGTTGATCATTTAAGTGGAAAATTATCTCAAACTTTTCCAAACTATTACAGTGCTTTATATGTGCCTCTCTTATGGGGCTTTTCCCATTTTTTGTACCATCTTATTAGATCCTTGGGCAGGGACCATGTTTTGCTCTTTGTCTCTCTCTTAGCCCTTGGCCAAGTGCCTTTTTTATTAAGGTACTCAAAAAACATTAATTGAATGAATGGCTAAAGACCAAAACTTTGCATTTATTTCAGTAGCAGACCTGGGGAATGAGGGAATAAGGAGGCCACTGCAGGGACACATTGGTACAGTTGATTTTCCATGTCACCTCTTAGTGCATTTGCATTATGGGTTTCTAGAAGCACTTTGTTCTCACCATCCGGGGCTCTATGGCCTTGGAGACCTGGACGGATTATGGGGATCTCTTTGTTTTAAGGACTGTGCTAGAAGGAAAATTGACCAGAGTCACACTAGAAGTAATGGAACTAGAAATGCTTTTGGCATTCTAGACCAGCACCTGGGTTTACTTTTGCCCCTTTGCTTCTGCAGGATGGAGCTGCAAAGGTCACCTGCATGGCATGGTCCCAGAACAATGCCAAATTTGCTGTCTGCGCAGTGGACCGAGTGGTGTTGCTGTATGATGAACATGGGGAGCGAAGAGATAAATTCTCCACCAAACCAGCCGACATGAAGGTGAAGGGAACGTTCATGTGTACCTTAACCTGTTGATGGGACCCTATAAATCTAGAAAACTTCCTATCCTGCTTCCTAGCCACAGGCATAGGAAATGGCCCGCCCTTCCTTTTCTCAGTATAAAGCCCTCAAGCCCACTACAGTCACACAGGCACCTTTTCTTTGTTTTTTTTCTTTTTGTAGATTAGAGCACAGTATTCTTTTTTTATATATAAAAATTTATTTATTTATTATTTATTTATTTGTGGCTGCGTTGGGTCTTCGTTGTTCCGTGAGGGCTTTCTCTAGTTGTGGCGAGCAGGGGATACTCTTCGTTGCAGTGTGTGGGCTTCTCATTGTGGTGGCTTCTCTTGTTGTGGCTCACGGGCTCTAGGCGCACAGGCTTCAGTAGTTGTGGCTCGCGGGCTTAGTTTCTCTGCGGCATGTGGGATCTTCCCGGACCAGGGCTCAAGCCCATGTCCCCTGCATTGGCAGGCAAATTCTTAACCACTGTGCCACCAGGGAAGTCCACCTTTTCTTCCCTTTTAAGGATACTCATTACTTCTTTTTCTTTCCTTTTTTCTTTTTGACTCTTAGTATGGCAGGAAGAGCTATATGGTGAAGGGCATGGCTTTTTCTCCTGATTCCACCAAGATTGCCATAGGACAGACTGACAACATCATCTACGTCTACAAGATTGGAGAAGATTGGTGAGGATAGAGATTGGGAGATGGGGTGTCCCAGAGAAGAAGGGAAAGGCAGGAAGAAATGCCTCACTGGGAAGGGGGGAATAGAGAGGTTGAGGAGCCAGCTGGGGTTTGGAAGGCAGAGGCCCTCTGGAGTCCGTTGTTGTAGCTTCCCTACCTTTGCGTGCACCACGTGTTCTATGATCCCATCCCTGGAAGAGTCAGTCTTAGATCAACAAGGAGGCCCTGTGAGATCCTGGGGAGCCTGGAGTGATGTTTTGTCTTTGTTATTCTTCCAAAGCTACTCAGGCTCCTTTGAGGGCTTCTATGGAGTGGTAGGAAACACTAGCGGGCCAGGGAAGGTATCTACAATTCCTCCCCTCCCCCAGCATCATTTGTGCCCGTTTATTCGTGGAAGTGGTTTGTAATATGCTTCCCTCCTTTTATTTGACAGGGGTGACAAGAAAGTCATCTGTAACAAGTTCATCCAGACGGTAAAGTTCAAACCAGTCCCTGGGAGATTAGGATGAACAAGCATGTATCAGTATATCCGCTTATAAATACAACGAGAAGTTGCCTTTGTTAACATCTGGCTCTGACTTTTCCTACTGCCTGGCTGCTCATCCCCCTGTGCTTTCCTCCTTAGAGCCCAGTTGTGTCCCCTCCTCTCCTTCCCTACAGGTGGTTGGAGTGGTGGCATGTGGTGGGATGTTCAGGCTCAGGTTGTTATCAAAGTGCTAACATACATAGACAGGTTTATCCTTTTCATTCTTTCTTTCTTACAGAGTGCTGTTACTTGTCTGCAGTGGCCAGCAGAATACATCATTGTCTTTGGACTGGCTGAAGGGAAGGTAAAGGAGGGAAGAGAAATACAGGAGATATTGTGCATGGGGATAATGGTTCTGGAAAGAGGTATATGGTTAATCTTCTCCCTTAGGGTCAAGTTGTGTACTGGGGTGACTACCCAGGGAACAGTTTTTGTTTTTTTCTTTTTCTTTCCTTAGGACCTGGGTGAAATTGAAAGTAGCCTAACCAGACTTTTGTCCATTCTCCCATTTTCAGGTTCGTTTGGCAAACACCAAAACTAATAAATCATCTACCATCTATGGGACAGATTCTTACGTGGTGTCCCTGACAACGAAGTGAGTAAGGAAGAGCAGTATCCCAAAAGCTTGGAAATGGTAGGAAAAGCTATAGGGGACTCTGGACTGGGGGACCATAGTATGAAAGATGGAGAGGGCTGGTAGCAGGAACCGCAGGTAGGGTAGTGTTTGACAGACAAAGGGGACTTTCTTGTTGAGACAGGATGCTCTAATGTCTTCCTGTATTTCTCTCCTTTCCTCCTTTTCCCCTTTTTTAGTTGCTCTGGGAAAGGAATTCTCTCTGGTC